CCACCAGCCACTCCTCGGAAGGAAGGTTGGGCAATCCTACTTCCGTAGTGATACTGCCTCAGAAACCCAAGGAGGGGTCGCTATGAGTCGGAGCCGACTCGACGGCACATAACAACAACAACAACAACAAGTTGAGTATTCCTGCATACACCCTAGCTACAACTTTACCTCTATTATCTGAGTAAATGCTGAATTATCTGAGTAAATACTGAATCATCTTAATGATATTAAAAAGAAAAAAGAAAACCAGGTGACATCAATTCTGACTCATGTTTCACAGCAGAATAGCGCTCCATGGATAAATAGCTATTCAGAAGCAGATCCAAATTCTTCACAGGCATCTATGGGTAGATTCAAACCACCAACCTAATGTTAACCTGTCGGTTAGTGGCCACATAACCAACCATCTGTATCACTCGGGGCTCCGTTAATGCTATTACTAGGTATTGAAGGAGCCCTGGAGGGGTAATGGTTAAGCACTTGGCTGCAAACCAAAAGGTTGGCAGTTTGAACCCACTCAGCAACTTCACAGGAGAAAATACCTGGCAATCTGCCCCTACTAAGTTTACAACCTACAAAACCCTATGGTAGTAGTTCTATTTTGTCATGGATCAGAATACCTAAGAACAACATTAGAAGTACACAAGGAAATTCATGCTTGAGACACTAACAAAAAAGTAAACACATGTGTGTGTGTGTGTGTGTGTGTATTTTTTTAAAATGCAAATCTGTGGATGGTAATTTACCCTCTTAAGTGTACCTATGGCATGTTCTCTTAATTGGAGAAAGGAGGGAAAACAACATTCCTTTTCCGCAGAGTCTTCAAACAGAACACCTAAAAATTACTTAGATGCTACTGCCAACAGAACCTTAGCTATGTAAAAGCCAAAGGTGATTCTCTGAAGTGTTGACTTCGAAGGGTAATGGAAAAGTGACAAAGCCAGAGCTCATGAGAGCAGAACCATCACACCTGCTTTTCATACTGCTGGACCTGGCTCACGCCAGCTAACTCACTACAGATCTCTGAAACAGGGCTAGAGCTAGGAAGTTTAATTGGTCAACAAATATTCTCATCTCTCTAATAAACATTTTCACTTTGCTCCAAATCCTTTACCTTCACTCTTTCTCAAATTAACTGGGTCTTTCCCAAATGCTACTACTACTGCTCAGTTTATGTAGGGAACTGAGCCAAGTGTTTATAAAGGAACACATGTAAAAGAGTAGCATATAAAGACATGGTAAGCAGGTACTACTTACAAGTGTGCTACTGCAATGTATGTGAAATAGAAGGTAGGACAGGAAGAGGGCGAAGAGGAGAAGAGCAGCAGGAATGAGGAGTCAAACAAAGTAGAATTTTCTAAAAACATCATTGCCTGCTACAGTAAAGTTCAGCAAATTTTTTCTGTAAAGGACCAGAGAGTACATATTTCAGAAGGAAGCAAATTTTCACAAAAATTTTATTAATTAAATTCAAACTATGATTATAATAATTTAGCACAATTCAAAAAAATTGCAATACAGGTCTACTAATAAAAGGATTATTTCTGAAAGAATAACATTTTCCTTAGAGTTTTAAACTCGACAACAGTGAGTTGGGTTTGTTTTTTTTTTTAATCATCAAAATCAATTGAAAATGGTTCATCAATTGATTTTGTGTATTTCATCTTTGAAAAGGCACACCAGGGACTACAAAATAGTAATATTAATCCACATGTATGATTTTAAATGGGAGTTCTGGTGGCACAGTGCCTAAACCATTTGGCTGCTAATCAGAAGGCTGGCGGTTCAAACCCACCAGCCACTCCTAAGAAGGATGACTGGGCAATCTACTTCTGCAGAGATATTGCCTTGGAAACCCAACGAGGGGTTGCTATGAATCGAAATTGACTCAACAGCAGTGAGTTTGGTTTGCTATATATTGCTAGGAAGTAATTTACAGAATTCTATTATTCTCATATTTGCCAATTTAGTATACCATTATATAGCAGATTAATAATTTTCAATTGACAATTAGATGGAACCTACTCAATTGCACAGTTAAATGTGCTTTGAAATGTAGAAAGCTTTTCAGAGATTTTTTGTAAATCTCCAAAACAATGCTGTTGAAATTACAGTTTGAGCTTTTACTGTATCAAATACCTGCTGCAAAATTTGGTTGGGAAAAAGAGATCTCACATCTTATTCCCAGTTTGTGAAAGCAAAGTAAACTTCCCACTGAAAACAACTATAAAACCTGGAAAAAATATACAAAAGAACTAATGCAAGCAATACTTCCAATTTTTCCCTAAAGGCATTTCATAATTCATAGTGTGGGGGAATGAAGCCCTCTAAGAAGAAAGTGGCTAAGACCACCGAAGTCAAAGTTTCAGACAATTAAGACTTGTGAATTTCCAGAGAGGAGTGCCCTGCAGAAGTGAGCCCAGAAAGCATAGGATACTTTGAATAACTTGCTGTGTTAGTCAGGATACACTAAATTTTGCTCTGGTAGCATAGTGCCTAAGGCAATTGACTGCTAACCAGAAGGCTGGCGGTTCAAACCCACCAGCCACTCCTCAGAAAGAAGGTTGGGCAATCTACTTCTGTAGTGATACCGCCTGGAAACCCAAGGCAGGGTCTCTATGAGTCCGGGCGGACTCGATGGCATATAACAACAACAACAACAACAAACAAAATCTTAAAGCTTATCCTACTGACATCATGTTCATAACAAGCCAGGCAATAAAGACTTGGATCTACGACTTCTCACTCCTGGACCCAGGCTCTAGCCATCGTCTTAAATTTTGTTGATTGCAGTGGTAAAAGGAGAGAGCTTTGGACAGTCCTACATTGGCAATTAAATACTCCATAGCTTTTTTTTTTTTTTTTTTTAATAAAAACTTTCATCTGCCAACCCTATACGTGGTGATGGGCACATACTATCCCCTGCCTAGACACACCTGATCGTTCAGCCTCTCCACCCATTTATCCACCCATAGATCAATGCTTGCCATCATTGACAACACAGTACTGTATATGCAAAAGGGTTCATCTTTGTTGTCTGTACCTCCCATGTACCTCTCTCTGTCTTCCTCTTCCTCAATGCCACCTCTTTTCTTTGGGCTAATTCATCGTGAAATTAAAAAATTTCTATAAATTTTTAAACTAGGGAAAATCTGCTTTCTTTTCTAATCTTCGCAAAGTAAATACTGAATATAAGTTCTCATGATGAGTTGCCTGAACAATGTTTTTAAAACTTTTAAATCGAAATTTAATGTATACATGGAAAACTGCACAAATCACAAGTATATAGCTCAATGAATCATTGCAAAGTAAACACATCTGTATATCCATCCCCTACACAAGTAACAGATCACCATCACCATTCCACAGGGCCCTCTCACACTTCCTCACCATAACTATCCCCCTGCTTCCCTTCCCCAAAAGTAACCACTGTCTACTTACTTCTAACATCCTACAGTAATTCTGCATGTTTGCATTTTATATTAAAAAAAAAAAAAAAACTTGTTGCCATCAAGTCTATTCTAACTCGTGCTAACCCTATGTGTCTCAGAGTAGAACTATACTACAGAGTTTTGCTATCATCTTACAGTGCTATGGGTGGATCTGAACCATCAACCTTTAAGTTAGTCTCAACTCACTGCCGTCGAAGGAGCAAATAGTCTGTCCCACCCAAGGGCCTATATAAATATAATCATACAGTAAAAATTCTTTTGAGTCTGACTTCCTTCAGTTAACTATGTCTGTGAGTTTCAACTACCTTGTGGTGTGTAGTAATAAATGGTTCATTTTCTTTCTGTGTAACCAATTGCTGCAGAGTCTAATTCAGACTCACAGTAACCCTACAGGACAGAGTAGAACAGGCCTATAAGGTTTCCAAGGCTGTAAATCTTTATGGAAGCAGACTGCTGTATCGTTCTCCCACAGAGCAGCTGGTGAGTTGAACTGCCACCCTTTCAGTTAGCAGCCAAGTGCTCAACCATTATACCACCAGTGCTCCTCTCTTTCTGTATAGTATTCCATAAAGACACTAGACTGTATTTACTTATTCTGCTCTCACTGGATATTTGGGTCTACTTTTGGTCTCGCTCATGACGATATAGGTTCTTGTACATTCTTTTAGTGCACATATGCATGCACTTCTCCGAAACTGCTTGGTTAATGTTTGTAGATTCTGACAATTTCCCAGGGATATAATCTGCAGTCCCATCAGCAGTATACTAGTTCTGATTCTTCTACATCCTCTCCAACAGATGGTAATCATTTTTTAAAGGTTCTGTACTTGTGCTAACACCATAGCCAGTAGCCACATGTGGCTACTGAGCACTGTTACTAATGTAACAAAACAATTGAGTTCTTAATTTCATTTAATTGAATTTAAATTTAAAACGTATTAGATTCAGTGAGAAGAAAAAAAAAATCTTTATGCTTATCTGGAACAACTCTGGTATATAAATCTACTTTTTCAACTGTAAATTTTATGAAATCTAAATACAAATGAAGTATTTCTTACGAAAATTTAGAGAGGTGTTTTAAATGTAAAATGCACAATGAATTTCAAAGATGGCACACAAAGAAGAATGTAAAATCTAAATCATTTTTCATATTGAAGATATATTTAAATAGCAGTATTTTGATGTGTAGGGTTAAAAATTACTGTTAAAAATCAATTCAACCTGCTTCTTTTCATTGTTTAATGTGGCTACTAGAAAATTCAAAATGATCAGTATGGCTCATAGTATTTTTATTGGACAGTATTGCTCTATACTACATATAAAAATAGTTGAAGAGTCAAAAATACACATCCTGTTAAAGTATGGATTTGTTGGTTGCAAAAACTGTACAGAATATTTGTTACATAAAGGAATTTAAATGCTTAATTCCAGCAAAGAATTCCCTAATTTAGATAAAGATATGATTTACCAGTTTAATACTGACCCATAAATTTATTTTGATATGACAAGACAGGACTTTAATCCTTTGAAGTAGTGCATGTCTTCATACACAGAAAGAAACTAAATCTTAAATTTAAAATATGTAATGACTATAGCAATCTTTTAGAAACAAAAGATTAAGCCAAGTTTTCTTGACAAATTTACACCTGGTGGTGCAGTGGTTTAGCATATGGCTGCTAACCAAAAGGTCAATAGTCTGAATTATAGCCTTGGAGACCAGGTGGAGCAGTTCTATACTGTCCTATAAGATTACTAAGAGTTGGAACTGACTCAACAGCAAAGGATAAAGATATAAATACATCCACTCCTCACTACATAGTTAGATTCAAAAACTAGGTGGTTATGTGTAGATAAGCATTATGTGAACATGGAAGACTGACCACATTAGATCACAAAATGGTTGACATCATTACATTCTCTTACAATACAATTACTATATTATATCCATCACAAAACTGCCAAATTGCATCACTGCATAACTACCAAACTACTGAGAATCATGGCTCAGCTAAGCTGACACAAAATCTTAACCATCACAATACTCTTGCCTACCACCCCTGAATTCATTACTGCCAGACATACATCATTAATGCGCAAAATAGATAATTTTTACTATTATCATAAATGCAAAATGTGAGATAAGATAGTCAATATGTGAGGTATAGTAGGATCGTGTGTGTGTGTGTATACACACTAGAGAGAGAGAAAGAGAAAAACCTATGTGCCATAAACTTTCCATCTGATTACTAACCTAAAAGTTGGCAGTGTGAACCACCCAGCAGCACCATGTTAGAAATTACAGCCAGAAAACTCTTATGGAGCAGTTCTACTCTGTAACACATGGAGCAGCCGTGAGTAAGAATCAATTCCACAGCAACAGATTTGGTTTTTGATTTACACATACTTTTTTAAGATGCCATGCCCATCAAGGGAGGAATGGATAGACAAACTGTGGTACATACACACAATGGAATATCATGCAATGTTAAAGAACAATGATGCATCTGTGAAATATAATGTGTATGAACTTAGAGGACATGATGCTGAGTGAAATTAGTCAATCACAAATGAACAAATATTGTAGATCACTACTGTAGAAAGTAAAAAAAAAAAAAAAAAAAGGGTTTCACATACATACATAAATTCTTTGATGGTTACCAGGAGCGGGGAGGGGGAGAGGGGTAAGCCGCTAAAAGGCATATGCACATTAACTTGGGTGAAGGGAATAAAAAAGAAAAAAAAATGGAATGGACTCTCACTTATGCATGTCACAGTAGAACCATGTTTCGTCTCAACGTCTGACTGTGATTTTACGGAAGTAGATCCCTAAGCCTTTCTTTTGAGAGCTAATGGGTGGGTTCAAACCACCAACCCTTGGTTAACTATGAATGTGTTAACTCTCCATACTACACGCAAACAAACAAACAAACAAAAAATCAAATCTATTGCCATTCATTCCGACTCACAACTACTCCCATAGAGTTTCCAAGGCTGTAAATCTTTATGGAAGTAGATTGCCTCATCTTCTGGGTTTAAACCACTGACCTGTTTAGCAGCCAAATGCCTTACCCACTATGCCACCCAGAGCTCCTTGGATTCTTAAATCATCACCAGTTACCATCCAGTCTCGACAACTCTATGAAATCATATATACATATACTACTACAAAACCAGTGAATTCAGAAAATAAACAACCCACCACACACACCCCCTTTCCACCCAAAACAACTCCCAACGGATCACTCATTCAGAGTCAGCTATAAATTACAGAAGCTTGCTCTTCCTTTATATTTAAATCAGCTACCATTGAGTTACCCTGATTCATGGCCACCCCATGTGGTTTTCAATGGCTGGTTTACTGGGAAGTAGACTGTCAAGCCTAGCTTGGCAGGTGCCTCTGGGTAGACTCAAACTTCCAACCTGTTGTTAAACAGCTATCTGCACCATCCAGGGATTACCATGAGTCCCAGTAGTTTAGACAGCAACTTAAGTCCCTTGAAATTAATACTCTTAACTGGTGGTGGGAAGGGGAGAGGCTGGTGTTGGTCATAGACTAAAAACAAAATTAAAAACCATATAAAGTTAGTATAACTAATAAGCTAAATGCACCATAACAAAATCTAATGCCATTTATGAAAAAGAAAGCACACAGCCAGACAGTGTCAAGTATCTCTAGAGTGGAGATTCCTTATGCTTACACTAGCAGAAATCGCTAAGCAAATCCTGCCCCTACCATCCACAATGCACTCCCATTCTACTACTGGAGGCTAGTTATTTGCATGATCCTGTAGGGTCTGCAAAACACTCTGGCATATTCCCATTCCCAAATAGCTGAGACAAAGTCTAAAGGTTTTGGCCATACACGGCGGCGAGGTGCTGGAAGGGGAAACCGCAGAACACCTACGCGGGTGCTGAAAAAGAGATAAACGGTGAGACCCACCTGGCCTGACATACCGGCTACCCTGGCTGCTACCACCTTTTCTTCGGAAAGGAAAATGACACCTAAGCCTGAACAAACATTTCTAAAAGAAAATCTTGGTTCACCTGATCACCTCTGAACCATTACTCGCTCGACGACTAAGCGAGTAGGAGGGTCTGGTCCCACTGCGGCACTTACCCAGGGCCAGAGCCTGCTCGCATCTCACCAGCGCAGCTTCGTGTTGTTGCCGGCGCTGCATGGTCCGCGCCTGCGTAGCCAAACTGCGCACACGGCCCTCGTTCGGGAAGCATTTCTTGAGCAGGTTGTTCAGCACCACGCTGACTAGTCCAGCATGAGACTGCGACACGCCCTTTTCCACGCAGTGCAAGCAGACCGTTAGCCCGCACGGCTGGGTCACCGGCTTCAAGAGTAGTTGCGCGCAGCGCGGGCAGCATAACAAGTCGCGAAGCGAGGCAGATGTCGGGGGCCGTGGGACTGTGGGTGGCCGCCCCAAGTACAGCACACTAAGGTCGTCTTCTGGTTGCAGTGCCTCCAGATACCACTCATCCACGCGGACGTTGTGCGCGATGCCGCAGGCCAGGTGCCCCAACTCCTCAGGCCGCAACGCCCTGAGCCACGCCGCCCCGCGAAACGCGCCCAGAGCCTCGAAGATATGGCCCGCGCGGGCCAGCGCGTTCCCCATCCTCAGACACAGATCTCGGTCGGGTTTGGGCACCCGGGGCATTACTAAACGGAAGATCTCGGCTGCCAAATCATACTCGCCTAAACTGAAGGCCTTGTCGCCCTTCTCTATTCTCAAAGATACCGAGTCCCCATAGTCGCAGCCGAGGCACTGATACTGCATTGGCTGGGCCGATTTGCCTCTGCCCGGCAAGAGGCTCATAGCTGCGGGCTAGCAACGATGTCGACTTACAAAACAGCAGAGGAAGGGTGCGCTGCTTCCCAGAGCTGGACCTCCTCCTCCGGGACACCACCGCCTTCGCCGCGAACCTGAAGCATTTGGCGGAGGCGTGCAACGGACTCGTAACGGCAGCTGGGGGCGGGCACAAAGCACGGGCGGGGTGGACAACGTGCCCTACGTAGCCCTTAGCACCCCTGCAGGGTCGCAACCGCCACCAGGTGCGGGAGGCGGGGTCAGATACAGCGGGTGCGGGGGTGGGCGGGGCGCCTCTACGGTGCTTCACGCACTTGCTCCGAGCCCTGCCCACGTAAACCTCGCCCTCTGTTCTGCTTGCGCAAATAATACCAAGTGATGTTGTAAACGTGACGACCCCCTCTCATTGTCCGCGTCTTCTCCAAACTCTCTCTTTCCGCGTCCCGAGTGGCACCCGTGAAAATATGTGTGCGCTCGCGTTTGTTTTTCGCGCCTTTCGCTACTTTCCTCAGAGCCTGGCCGCCGAGGCAATCTGTGGCTCTCTGAGGTTAAATGAGAACCTAAGAAAAGTTACCAAGCATGTCAATTATCTCTAGCTTTGATTTGGGAAATTGTTTTAAATGAATGAGAAGCCTGAGGTGGGCAATGAGCCAGAGCTTCCCATCAATTTTCTCTCAGTGGAATTTTAAATTCCAGTCGGACAGTCCTAAAACTAATTTGATAGAACTGGACTGGTGGCATAGCGCCTAAGACATTTGACTGCTAACCAGAAGGCTAGCGGTTCAAACCCATCAACCACTCCTTGGAAGGACAATTGGGCGATCTACTTCTGTAGAGAAAGGGCCTCGGAAACCAAGGAGGGGTCGCTATGAATGGACTCCACGGCAGTGAGTTTGGTTTTTTGGTTATAATTCTAGCAGACGATGTGCGAAAATACAAAAACCTACGCGTTGGGAAAGGAGAAATTTGAGAAAAGGACAACAGTATTGTCCCCTTGATTAAACGGAAATAAAACCTTACAAATTTCTCATGATACAGAGTACCGTATACAGAAGTTGCTGGGGGGAGTTAAAAGCTGCATTTGTGTGCAAGTAATGTTTAAAAGTAATCCTTCTGTGCTTATTAACTAGTTTAGAGTTTCTCATTGTATATAGTCTATTCTCTCTCGATTCTGCTTTATTGTGTCTTCAAATGCAGTAAAATGTATTAAAATATTCCAGAATCCATACCGGAAAAAAAAAAAAATATGAAACTGCTGTGGAGTCAGATCCATTTAGCAAGAAAACAGAAAGGAAAAGCTTGCTGGAGGTATAGCTTCTGGGAACAAGAATAATTTATAGCAAAAATATTATGTGAGATTTATAACATGTGGAAATAAAATTACAAAAATATCATAAATCTCATTAAGTGAGGAGAGAAAATGTTAGACCAGTTCAGAAAAGGGAAAGAGAAAACTTTGACCAGCCCCTCTTCCTATAATGAACAAATTCAGAAAAACCACCTCTCCTCCCTTTCCATGTATGATTTTTACCTCTAAGTATCTACTTTGTATGATAACAATTGTAGTTGTGGTAGGTTTTGGTCTGTTTCTCATTACTGAATCATTCCAAATTCCATTTTTGATCACTCAGGTTTTTACCTACTTCTTTATTCCACAGCACTCCACTTGTATTTGAAAGTTGCTTATACAGCAAATTCACAACCAACAACCAGGAAGTAAGGGGTAAAAGCATCTGAGAATAAAAAAAAATAGCACAACAAAGGCAATACACTAAAGATTATGAAACCTTGCAATCTTAAAGTCTGTTTATTCTTACTTTACACAAATTTCTAGCAAGAGAACAGAAAGGAAAATCTTGCTGGAGGTATATAGCTTCTGGGAACAAGAAGAATTTATAGCAAAAATATTATGTGAGATTTATAACATGTGGAAATAAAATTACAAAAATATCATAAAGACCATGATAGAAGAAATGAAAATGTACTGTTAATAAGGTTTACTTTATATGTAAAACAGTAAAATAACACTTGAAGGATGATTGTGATAAATTTAGCATGTATACTCTAAACATGTATACTCTAAACAGCCACATTAGTAACAAAGTTGTTGTTGTTAGGTTCCATCTAGTCAGTGCTGACTCATAGCAACCTTAACAGAACAAAACACTGCCCACTCCTAACCATGTTCTGCTGCTATTGATAAGGTTTTCACTGGCCATGCTTTTCAGAAATAGATCACTAGGTCCTTCTTCCTGTCTGTTTTAGTCAGGAAGCTCCACGGAAACATGATGACTCTGGTGATTGGAAATACTGGTGGCGTAACTTTCAGCATCACAGCAGCATGCAAGTAACCACAGAACAGCATACTGACAGGAGAGTGGTGATAATAAAGAGCTAGTGATTAAAGCATTTGGCTGTTAACCAAAAGGTCAGTGGTTCAAACCCGCTGGTCACTCTGTGGAGAAAAATGAGGCAGTCTGCTTCCATAAAGGTTTACAGCCTTGGAAACCCTTTGGGCAGTTCTACTCTGTCCTATAGAAAGGGTCGCTATGACCCAATAGATAGAGTTACTATTTGATGGCAGTGGGCCTGGTTGTATTTTGTTTGTTCTTGAAAATACCTAAAAAGGTACCAAAGGAGATAAAATTATCAAAAAAAAAAAAACTTGCAAAAGTTGGCAGAAAATGAGGGGAAAAGGAAGACCTAATATATGCTACCTGCAAAAAACCACTTTGTTTCTTATTTTATTTATTTATTTAAAGAGCTTGTTTTACATTCAATGCAACACACACATTTAGTTTCATTCCCCATTTACTGTGTCTAACCCTAATCCAGTCTCCTCCCCCTGCTACCCTGTAACCCCACCCCTGTGCCCTCATATTTATGCACTCCTGTTTGTCCTGCATTTCGTCAATTTGAATGTTGGTCCTCTGGTGTCCCATGGTCTATTGCTCTAAAGGATGTATTACCATAGAGTATGTGGGTGCGTCATCCTGGGTTGAGTGGTCTGCGTGTATATCTTGTTAACTATTGGGCTGAGAGCCAGCCCCTAGGGGTGCATTTTATTCGAGGCACAGAATTTATTCCAGGGCCATAGTATTGGGGATCTCACCAGATTTCATCTGACCAGTAATTCTAGTCATTATTTTTTTAATTTTGTTCCACGTTTTCCCTCCCACTCTATCCAGGATCTCCAGATTTGATCCTTTCCTAAGTGGTTGGCATTGGTAGCCAGGCATCATCTAGTTCTTCTAGTCTCGAGGGCCATCGTGTCCTAGGGCTGATTGCTTTTAAATGCTCTTGGTTTTTTTTTTTTTTTTTTGCATTCTTCATTTCTGATGCTAGGAGACCATTAGATACATCTTAGATGGCCCCTTGAAAGCTTTTAAGACCCCAGTCACTACTTACCAATGTAGGATGTGGAGCAAGGCTTTTATGTATTTTGTTGTGCCAATTGAGTCTGTTGTCCCCCAGTACTATGGTCCTGAGACCGCAGATCTATTGGATCTCTCTCCCATAGTGTTTGGTTGTCTGTGAGGGATTACTCTGTTCCTGTCTTCTATTGTTTCTGTAAGGACTGCAGGTATTTTGTATCACTGTTGTCTGTGCAAGATTAGCCTCAGCTGAATCTATCCTTGGTCTAGAGTAACCTCTGTTCACTGACCCCCATCTGATCATCTCAGGTATTTATGTGTTTATCTGTAGCCTGGTGTTTGGTGTTAATGACAGTGCAGTATTGTGGACACATTGGTTGGTATTAGCATCTGTCATCTATCTCTTATGTGCACAGTTCGGTGTCCATTTCCTAATGTTATCATGGTGTTCATAGATCCTTCCTGTCTATGCCTCCCCCTACCCACATCAGCATGTAAGCCCCAACTAGCCCAAAATTAATCTCTTCCCTTCCCTCCCCATCCTGGTAACCTACTAAGTGAGTTCCCTTTCCCAAGAAAACCCTTCTTTGTCTTTTTACAGTAATGGGCTCATACAGTACTTGTCTTTCTGTGATTGACTTATTTCACTCAGTCTAATGTCTTACAGGTTCATCCATGTTGTGAGATGATTCACATATCCCTCATTGTTCTTTAATCTAGCATAGTATTCCCTTGTGTGCATATACCATAATTTGGTTATCCATTCTTCCATTAATGGGCATTTAGTTTGTTTCCATGTCATTGCTATAGTGAATTGTGCTGCGATGAACATAGATGTACATAAGTCTGTTCATGTGCTATCTCTCACCTCTTTAGGATATATTCCTGGTAATGGAATTGCTGGGTCAAGTGGTACATCTATTTTCAGTTTTTTAAGGAAATGCCATACCATTTGCCACAATGGTTGTGCCATTTTACAATCCCACCAGCAGTGCGCAAGAGTTCCAATCTCTCCACAACCTCACCAGCATTTGTTATTTTCTTACCTGTTGAACTTTGCTATTTTTGCTGCAAAAACCCACTTTAAATATGAAGATACAAATATGTTAGTTAAAAGGATGGATAAAGATGTCATATGTAATCCTTCCATTTCATTTTTGACAAATTGCAGTTTTCCTTGATGTATACTTTGATGTTCCAAGCTCTACTAATGAATATTTGCAGCTGTTTCTTCCCATTTTGAGTCATGCCACATTAGCAAATGAAATGGAACTCTGGAAGATGGATGTCCTAGATATTACTGAGCTGAAATGGGCTGGTATTAGCCACTTTGAATTGGACAATCCTATAGACTACTATCTATAGGATTTAAAAACATACGACACAAAAATTTTAACATACGACACAACAGATCTGTCCTGGAGGAAGTGCAGCCAGAATGTCCTGACTGCTGCTTCTGTTGGCATCAATTGTAGAACCAAGCAATGTGAATTCCTTAACAACCTCAATCTTCTCTCCATTTATTGTGATGCTGCTCATTGGTCCAGTTATGAGGATTTTTGTTTTCTTTATATTGAGATGTAATCCATAC